TTTTTTTTATGCTTAATTTTCTTCCTTTTTAATGAGTTTTATTCTTCTCTCCTACCTGCAGGGCTGGACGTGTCCTAGCCCAGACTCTATTCGTGAAGACTTGGCCTACTGTGAGCATCTACCTGACCCCCAGGAAGATATCACCTGGAGAGGTCGAGGCAGGGAAGGACTGGCCCCCCAGCGTAAAACTACTAACCCTCTGGACCTGGCTGTGATGCGACTGGCTGCCCTGGAGCAGAATGTGGAGCGGCGGTACCTACGGGAGCCCCTCTGGCCAGCTCATGAAGTTGTGTTAGAGAAGGCCCTGCTCAGCACACCTAGTGCTGCCCCACAGTGCACCGCTACAGAGATGTGAGTGACCCCCCCCCCCCAGCCCCCGGCATTGTTGGTCTTGGGAAAAAGGGATAAGTTTAATGGATCCTACTCATCCAGAGATTACCACTTTCTCCCTCTAGATCATATGAGATCACCCCTCGTATGCGCACCTGGCGCCAGACGCTTGAGCGGTGCAGGAGTGCTGCCCAGGTGTGCTTGTGCCTGGGCCAGCTGGAGAGGTCCATTGCCTGGGAGAAGTCTGTCAACAAAGTGGTAAGAGACTGGGGAGCCAGCCGGCCCAGGTGGGTGGGGTCACTAGTAGAGGGCTCACCGTGTCTCCTCACAACCTTGCTCCAGACCTGTCTAGTTTGCCGGAAAGGTGACAACGATGAGTTTCTTCTGCTTTGCGATGGGTGTGACCGTGGCTGCCACATATACTGCCATCGGCCCAAAATGGAAGCTGTTCCAGAGGGAGATTGGTTCTGTGCTGTCTGTTTGGCCCAGGTAAGCCTTTTGCTTTCTCATTCCCACTCAGCAGAAGTTCCTGTTTACCACCAATCCTACAAATACCACTTGGTGTATTTGTACATGGTTAAGACACTTTAACCATGCCTTCAGTGTCTTCTTGGAAAGATCTCCAGACTAGGTGCTAGGAGACCTGGGTTCATGAGTTCTGGTGCTTCTTTGGACAAGTGATGTAAATTCTATAGCCTTACTTGCTTTCTTCTATAAAATAGGAGTGATTATACTTTCCATTTTACCTGCCTTATTGGGTTAGGTGAATAAACTCACATGCTGGCTTATGCGTGAAGCCTTCTCAGTCACACTTAGACATGTAGGGGTTGTAATGAATTGGAGGGCAGGCCAAGTACACTCCAGATGTTGCTGATCTCATCTTTCTCCTCTCCTTAGCAGGTGGAGGGAGAATTCGCTCAGAAGCCTGGCTTCCCAAAACGAGGCCAGAAGCGGAAAAGTAGTTATTTGCTGAACTTCCCAGAGAGTGATGGCCGCCCACGCCGGGTACTGTCAAGGGGCCGAGAAAGCCCAGCAGTACCTCGGTACTTGGAAGAAGGGCTGTCCCCCTCAAAGCGGCGGCGATTCTCCATGAGGAACCATCATAATGATCTCACATTTTGCGAGTGAGTTGAATAAATTCTGGGGACAAATGGTTCTACTTTTACCAGAGCAAAGAGCTGGGAGGGTCAGTGTATTTGCTTCTGAGATGCAGCCATCACTCCCTTTAATGGTAGGATTATCTTGATGGAGATGGAGTCCCATGATGCAGCCTGGCCTTTTCTGGAGCCCGTGAACCCACGTTTAGTGAGTGGGTATCGGCGCATTATCAAAAACCCTATGGATTTTTCCACCATGCGGGAGCGGCTACTCCGGGGCGGGTAAGTAGACATCAGCCACTCTCCTGGCTCCTCTGTCACTGCTCTAACTTCTACCCAACTCACAGCTCGGCCTCCACCCCTGCCTAGGTACACCAGTTCAGAGGAGTTTGCGGCCGATGCACTCCTGGTCTTTGACAACTGCCAGACCTTCAATGAGGATGACTCTGAAGTGGGCAAAGCTGGGCACATCATGCGACGCTTCTTTGAGAGCCGCTGGGAGGAGTTTTATCAGGGAAAACAGGCAAATCTGTGAGGCAAGGGTGGTGGGGAGTCACCTGTGGCTTCTCCCCCTGCCCTCCAAACAACAAACCCTGCCATTCTCACCTGCTGATGCTGCCCTAGGTTTCGACTCAAGTCAGAGATGCATCTCTGACATTTGGCTGTCTTGGGCAGCACCCCACATCCTCTTGTTCCTACACCTCTTCTCCCTTTCCTCCTCTTGCTTGCTCCTCCAATAAAAGGGGCAGTGATGAGGTCCTTCTGGACTAAAAGCCAAAAAAAGAAAAAAGAAGAAAATAATTTTTCCTTTCTGTTTTATTTCCTAGTTGAAAATGAGGAGGAAAGAAGTCCCCACTTCCTCCCCCCAGCTTCCCCTCCTTCCCTGTCCATGCCCCAGCACTCTGGGGCTATTTAACAATAGCAATAGTTCTAGTGAATGTGTGAAACCGAGAAACACTCTGTACTGTGTGTGGACCCGCAGTGACGGCCAGTAAAGTGGACTTAATTCCCAAGTGTGTCGAGCCGGACACCGGGCCCTGAACATGCTGCTTCCATGTTCAGTCCCTCCCCTGCTTCTCACTTTCTATCTCAATTTTTCACCTTCCCTCCCCGCCCCCATTTGAGATTTTCTGTCATCCAGTAATGTAAAACTATCGTGTACGGGTTCCTTCATCCTTTTCCAAGTCTTTTTCCCTTTCAAAGGGAAAAAAGGTTCAGTGGTCCTTGTTTCTGTCTGTCCTCATCTTCCGCCAATAGCTTTTCCCTCTGTAATGTTGGATACTCCTCACATGCTGAGTTTCTAGCCTTTTCTGAAACTCGGTAGCTGGGAGAGGGCAGGGAGGCACTGTGGAACCTGGGCCTTGCAGCCTCCTTCCCCCGCCTCTTACCCAAACCTCCCGCTTGGGAACTCCTCAGGGACAACTACTGCTGAGTTTGGGCACACCCCAAGATGGAGGCCAGATAGCAATCGACTGGCCTGAGAGGTGTGTGTGTGCGTGCGAGTGTGTGTGAGAGAATGTGAGAGTGAGAGAGAGGACACTGTTAATTGTGCCCCTGTATTGTTTGAAGGCATCCATTCAGTTTCCCCAAATATCTGTTTTTATTCCCACTTTTCACATTATTTCAAACCATCATATTTTTGTCTTTGGAAAACCACAGGAACAGTTTTTCTGGGTACAAGGCTGTCTCCTCTCTCCCAGTCATTTCTGTTCCAGCCTCTAAACTGTGCAATCTTTCAGCAGGAACTCCCTCTCCTTTCAGTAGCTTTGAGTCTTAGCTTTTGCAGGGAGAGGGGTAGAACTGGACCTTTCCTAATCCCATGAGCTTCTGTGGGTTTAGTTGTGCTTTCCTTCCCTTACCTACTTCATACCCAAGGACCCCTTCCCAAGCAGCAGAGACCCTGGAGCACAAGAGAGTAAGGAGGAGGGGTTTGGGGTCCACCACTGCCCTACATGTGACTATGCCCAAGCCCCAACATGTGAGAGGAAAGCTAACTCCCAGCTATAGCCATGGGCCCCTGGCCCCCTGCTTTCCTGCTCAGCAGAGCCCCTCCCATCAGAAATTACGGGTACTTGCACTGGGGAGGTGGCCGCTGGCTGGCCCAAGCAGAGAGCTAAGGCACCCAGGAAATGTTCCATTGGTGTTGTGTGGGGGGGTGCCAGGTGAGGTGGAGCGTTCCTTGTACTTCTGGCAGCACTGAATAGCCACTGAGGGGGTGGGGGGCAGTGTAGGTCCTGGGGCAGCCCCTTTCTTATTCCTTTATGCCCCTTCTTCCCCCTAGCCTATTTCTAAAGTCGCCTTTTCTGTCAGATAAACCTCAAAAGTTTTAATTTTATTTGAGACTTTCTTTTTGCTTTTAAATAAGAGGTGGATTGAAGAATATTTGAATTGACTTTATATTATGCATAAATATTTATATTTTATCTAAATAACTGCGCTGTAACAAACTTTGTGTTAGTCAAATGTTTGGAACTGTTGTAGTTGGGGGCTCTTCTTTTTCCCCATGGCAGTTTTCCCCTGGTATAAAATGTACTAGGTTCATTTTATTGTTGGAGGCAAGGTGGATGGGAGTGAAATCTCAACTGTCCCTACTTTTGTGTTCTCTCCCAGCTCCATCTCTTTCCCTAGGGACCAGGCACTCGTAAGGTGGGGTGGAGTCCGAGCCTCAGTTTGAAGAAGTGTGGGGCTGAGGGGGGTGGGGTAGGACATGATCAAAGGGGCCATTCTCACTTTTATTTCCCCGTCTTCACTGCCCCTTGAGCTAGGTGGATTTTCTTTTCTTCATAAATAAGAGTATTTGGTAGGGAAGGCAGGTTAAAAAAAAGAACCCACCCCCTACCCCTTTGTCTCCCCTCCCCTGTCAGTCTGGTAACAGGAAGAAACCACACCATCAACACCAACAAGTTTCCGTGTTCCTTTTACATCAAGAGGGACTTGACTTTTTATATAACCAAATGTGGTGTTTTAGTGACTTTTTGATAATGTACAGTTTTTTGTGAATTTAAATTTATTTCTTTCTATATTTTTAGGACCAATCTCATTTTTAATAAGGTTTAAAAAAGGGAAAAAAAAGTCTAGAGAAAAACTCCTGTTTTTGCCATGTGATGTTCCACAAGTGCAGCTGTAGAAAAGTGCTTGTCAGTTGAATAAAAACCACATTTGATAGAGATTCAAAAGACTCTGTGTATTTATCTTCTCTTCACCATAGGTTTTCACGCTTGCCTAAGGGGAGCACTGGGTATTAGGGTGAGTATGACTGGTTTGGTGTAGGAGAGAGCAGGCAGGACAGCAACAAGCCTTTAATCTTCCAAGGTTTATCCCAAACTTCCATGCGTGGCCTGGCCTGGCCTGGCCTGTGCAGGAAGTACCCAGGGCAGAACGTCTGCTCTGTGGATAGGTTGGGGTCTTAGTGCCCCTGGCTGTGGTGCTGGGGCAGCATGGGACCCAGTGCCTGGTCCTGCCTTGTGAGACACAGCTCTGGCTTCCTAAGCTGCTACCTGTATCCCCATAGCATAGCAAGCATAGGCCCATCACCCATTCCCAGCTTCCATCTATGGATCAGACACCGGGAGGTAGATGTTTGTGTTTTATTTCAAAACAAAGGTTGAATAAGACAAAATGAAGCTCTGTCAAATTGTAGGGAAGGAACATGAGAATATCAAGGGTCAGAAAAGGAAGAATAAGCTAGGTGGGTGGCATTGGCATAGAACTAGAAGCCTCTGGATAAAGGGAAGAATGTACAAAATGTGCTTGAATATAAATTAAACTTTTTATCCTGTCCAAGGTGGTAAGTGCATACAAGAGAGCACTCACCACCCAAAAACCATGTGTTGTGGGACAGGACACCAGTAATGGGGTGAGGACTTTCTTTGCTTGGTCTGGAAAATCTTATCACCCTCTAGGCTAGAAATTTGATTTTGGTGAACCCTCTAAACCTTAACTGGAATAAGATGGGGAAGGAACATCTACTTCCAGCCTATGAAAATCACAAATGCCCTCTTTGGTGCTTGCTTACCTTCTCAGCTACGTGGCAGCTACTGGCCAATTCATCCTCTTAAGTTCTGAGGTCTGCTCCATTGTTGGTGTTCCTGGGGGTGACTTCTCTAAGCATTAGTTAATATCTTAGGCCAGGCTGGGATAGGCCACGGTTTATCCCCTGGCCTACCACAGCAAGGCCTAATGAAAGAGTTCACACTATTCTGGGGTAACCAGAAACAACCAAAAGAGCTTTTGCACTTGATCATGAATCTTTCCAGCCCCCAGCTTTCTAACCCTCATGAAAGTCATAAAGGAAAGATGTAAACCAGGTGCTTATGCCCTAGTTCCTCCTATGAAAGGAAGGGGTGAAAGCTGAGTGAATATTAGGGATCTGCTAATACCTGGAAGGACCTAAAATGCAGGTAAGCACAGAAATAGAGTAGTTGGCTTAAGTGGAAATTGGGAAGAATCGGTATGACAAGGCACAAGATACAGGTCCTAGCCCTTACAGATTGGCTTTCATAAAACCCACCCTTTTCTCTGAAGCTAATGTATCAAAGCCTGGGGACAAGTTTAGACCTGATTACCCATCCCTGTTTATTGTCCTTTGATAAGGTCAAGTAGCCTCGAGTTGCAATGCTGCTGCTCTTCCAGAAGGTGAAACACATGTGCAAGAGCAGCAGTGGAATTTCCCCCCGTCCCAGACCACCCCCCTACAACAAGATTTCTGTCCAGGAATAAATTGCATTCCAGCAAGGCCTCTCACAGCACCTTTGTGCTGCAAAGTGCTAACCCACATGTCAGCCCCTGAAGAGTTGGCACTGAAGCCACAGGGAGTGAGCACTGCAGGTACCAAGCCAGTGAATGACCTCACTGCTCTGTAAGTTGGGGGGAAATGAAACTGGGCAGAAGTGGCTCAGCCCAGGGATGGTCTGCAGCATAGCAAAACCTATTGTAGTTTTCACACTAAGTACAAGTTAATGTCTTCCTACCACCCTTATCACAAGGGCCACTGCTTCAGAGCCACCAGGCTTCCAATCTGAGCAGACCTTCAAATTCTTTGGTTAAAAAATAACATTTTTCCCCACCATCATTCCCAAATCTTCTCTAATCTCTACCCATACTCTGCAAAAAGTCTAGTCAGCCTAGCGTCCACATCATCTCAGCGCGAGAGGAACAGGAGTAACACTGGCATGGGGTGGGTCAGGCAGGCTGGCAGCCTAGTTAAGGACTAACATTTGAGGAAGGTGTTTGAGTATTTCTATTTGACCGAAAACAAAAATACAAAGTATCAGAATATTTTAAGAATGTCAGGAGCATATGTAATGGGTGGGAATGAGATGACGTGAAGAGAAACTATCATCTGGGCTCCGTAAAGGCAATTGAGAAGGCACTAGGCAGTAATGTTTAAAGAGCCCAACCCTAGGCTGAGGTTGAAGGCTCCCCTACAATCCTACCACCATGAGGCTATTTCATGAGAGAAACAGTATCCCTCAGTCCTTCCATCCCCTTTATCCAATCACTCACTCGTGTTTGAATTGTTAGAAATGAACTTACAACCAGGCAAAAATATGAGTGTAACCCCAAAACACCAAAAAAAGATGTTCCACAGTGCCATTAATCACTACTAAAATGACTTCACACTCCCCATCACTTCCCATGCCCAGCCAACCCTGCCTAAGCCAGAAACGTAACAATTCATTAAGTAGATTCACGTGAGAACACACAATAGGTAATTTCAGAATTTAACAAAGTGAAGTCATGGAAATTTAAACATTTCTTCAAATACAGAGACAGAATCAGGAGTCCTGGGAGGCAGAGCAGGCAGCAGTGACATCAGCAGTGTCCACGTGTGGAAGGTCCCCACTGCACTTCGCCTCACACAGTAAGGCTCCTCCAAGCTGCTGTCAAATGAACAGGATTCTAGATTTGTTTTTTTCCTCAAGGCCACTGACAAATCTACAACATACTGTCCTTAAGTAGGAAATGAGCTACCTGCCCAGCTAAACTGTTCTAGGTTATTGTGAGCTTGGGTCTGTTTTATGTTGGATGAGACCTCCCTGAGGACGGAAGTGCCCATGAGAAAATGAATAGTGGCAGTTTTGTTCTTTATATCCTACCCATTTCCCCCTACTCGCTCACCCCCAGGATGTACAAAAGGACAGCCTAAGGACAGGGAACATTTGGAATCTTGATTCTGGCATGGGTGGGAGGGGAGGGAAAGCTGGGGCCAACCTCTCTGTATAACAACTGATCAGCTTCCTCTCCCCCAGCGTCATAGCCTTCCGCTCCTGACAGCCAGCCGATGAACACGTTTCTCCAGTCTGACTGTCTGGTGGAAAGGCACCTGACGTTGAAGTGAGGGGGAGTAGGACTCTCCTCTCCGTGTATAAGGGAGGACCTGGGAGAAGACAGGTGAAGAATCTCATTTCCTAAAAGATGGGCAAAGGGTTTCTCTTCTCTGTCTCCATGTGCATAGAGTGAGGACTTGGAGAAGGAGATGAGTTGAAGAGAAAATATAGACTCTTTTTTTTTTTTTTAATAGCACTCCTGATACTGTAAATAATGTGATGGGATTTATTGCCCTTTTCTATCCTAGCTCCACTGTCTTTCCACAAGAAGGAAAATTATTGGTTCCCTGGCAAAGGGGCCCAAACACACCAAGGCAGGACAGGCTGCCCCGGACAGTTACGGAGAGCTTTGCCCTGCCCACACCTGCATAGCACTCACACCCAACAGTCCCCACCTTGATTCTTCTGGATGTGTGTGCATTTAACAGCACGAGCCTTTCAAGGGTATACAGAGGTGTCAAAGGTCAAAGCCAGAGGAAACTTCAAGGACTCCATTTTTGTCACTTTCAACTAGTCTCAAAAGGTGCAGTGTGTCCAGGGTTGGAATAGGAATTCACCAGATCCTCTGACCAGGAGGCAGGGACAGCACTATCTCCATCAAGGTTTCTTGACCTTGGCACTACTGACATTTTGAGCCAGATAATTCTTTGTTGGTGGTGCTGGGGACCCTGTGCCCTGCAGGATGTTCAGCAGCATCCCTGATCTCTAGCCGCTACACACCAGTAGCTCACAGCCTCCACCCCCAGGCGTGACAATGCCAAATGGCCTCTAGGGGACAAAACCATCTCCTTGAGAACCATGAGTCTAGAAGTGAAGTAACTGATCTTCCACAGTGGGAAAGGAGCCTGAGTGGGCTCAGCAAGGTGAACAACTTCAAAGGCTCCCAGCACAGCGGTGTGATGGGGAAGGGAGGGGCCCCCAGACGTGGAGCAGGTAAGAAGATCCTCTAGGAATCAGGAAAGCAGGTATTTTTGAAAAGTTGTAGCTAGAGAAGACACTTCCTCAGGGAGTGTTGACCTTGGCAGTGAGAAGAATTAGAAGTCAGTTAAGTCCACCCTTCTGGAACTTGCAAGGGAAGACCTAGTCTTCATCCACATTTGGCTCAAGCATGACTTCCAAGGGCTGTGGGGTTGTCTCTTTAGTGGGCCTAGGCCACATCTCTGCTTCCTGAAGACAAAGTCTTGCCTTTTCTCACAGGACGTGGCAGGAGAGAAGGAAGAAAAACCACTTCCACTGCGTGATTAGTGTTCTACCTTCTTCCTTGCCCGGCCCTAAAAAATTCCATATGAAAATTTCATTCAAAAGAGAAACTCACAAAATTAAAAACTGTAAAAAGGTAAAATAGGCATGTTCTGCTGTATGGAAAAGAGAAGATGAAAAATCTGGGTGAGAGAAAGAAGGTATAATATGTGTGAAGAAAAGACGGGGTGGATGAGTTAAGAGCTTTATAAAACAGAAGTTTTTAACTCGGCATATTTTCTTACACGCACCAAAGAAAGTCCACAACCAACCCACAGTAGGACCCCTTCAACATTCTAGCACCACACCTTTTTTTTTAAGAGAAGAAATAACAAAAGAAAATTTTTTAAGCTTTCCCAAATAAGTTCAACACTTCAAAAGTGTTTTTCATAAAGATGAGAAGAAGCTCCAGGCACCATGTCTCTTTGGGGTATACTGCAGTTAAAAACAAAACATAAAACTTTCTTTGCAAAAGAAACATAAAGGAGTGTCTTTGGTTTCCTTGAATGTAGCACACACAGAAAGTGACGGTCTCCCCAGGCTCCATCAGGAAGGGAGGAAGAGCAGAGGACAGGAGTGCAGAGATTTCTTTTTCAGGCCCAGGCCTGTGAAAAATGATGGCCAAGTGTTAGGTCTTAGCAGGGCCCACAGATGATCTACATTCCGGGTCAGCCCTCTGGAGTCTGGGAGCATTAGCAGCTCCAAGAATTCATTTGTACTAAAAAAAATGGGGATGGGAATCCTAACGGAGGAATAAGCCAGAGAGGGCAGGGAGGGGGGATGACAAACATGAGACCCTGTCTGACTTCAGGCTGCTCAGCACACCCTGCCCCTCACTCAGCATGTGATTCTTACCACTGTTACTTGTTGAACTGGAAAGAATAGACCCCATGGTCTGAGGGAGCATCCACGGTCACTTGATTTTGCTGGCCACTGTTCTCCTGTAACCACAGCCAAAGCAGGAGAGTCACCCTGTGCATCCTTCCCTCACCCCCCACTGAAGCAGCCTGGCTGGCTGGAGCCCAGCTAGACTCCAGTGCCTTTCCCAGCTTACCCACCCCCACACCCTGGTGTTCATGTGCACGGGCACACAGCACACACATACTCACACACATAGCCTCACTTCCCCAGCATTTAGAGTGGCCTGTTCTCTTCCCAAGAAACACTAGTGTTTACTATCCTGGTATTTACTATCTGGCCAAATGTCAGGAGGAGCCTCATTCAAGGACACACACTCTCCTTGCTACATTCTTCACATACCAGTCAGCTATTTGCGAACACAGAATTAGCATCGCTGTGAGAGGAAGGTCTTGAACAGGGAAAATCTGCCTCTGTTCATTTTCTTATCCTCAGTCTAAAGAGGTTATAAAGCTCTCACCTCAACTGAAACACTGGAAGAAGGCACAGGGGTGTACTGGGAGATGTAAGCTCCCTGCAGAGCTGCAGCCGTTGGCAAGTACTGGAATGGAAAACATCAGTGGGCTTAGTGTGGTGATTCTTGGCTACATTTAAAGCACCTGGGAGCTTTAGAAAAGACTGATGCCTCTGTTCCATCCCCAGAGATTCTAGTTTAATTGTCTAATTTAATTGTGCTTTTGAAAACTGCTTCAGGTAGTGGTTCGAAAGAACACCGGCTTAGGGGGACTTCTGCGGACATGGCCTCCTTTTCCCCTCTGTCCTGCCTTCTGCCTTTCCTCGTGCACTGCCTTCTCTGCCTTTAAGCCCTCCCGTGCACATCGGAATGTAGCAGGCCTACAGGAGACCTGGTGAGCTTCATCCATTCTTCTTTCTTAGTACTATTTTGATAAGGATTCCTAGGAAATGTGAATGAACTTCCACATACACTAGTATGTACATAGAAACACTGTTTGTTCAGTTTTATGAGTAGGAATCAGTTAAAAGGAGTGGGCTGGGGAGCATAATAATGGCTGTATTCCTGCCTCATGGATTATTACCTGTTACTTTGTCTCCTACTCTGAGTGTGCTCTCAATGACACTGAAGTGATTCTTATCACGTACAAGTATTTATGCTGAAAAGTAGTACACAGGTACCCCTTCCTCGGTAGGAGTTTACAATCAGAAGTATCCTGCTTTACCGTGCCCGCGGTGCTGAGGGAGAGGTGGCCCAGTTGCTGGGTAAGAGGTCCCATCATGGAGGCAGGCTGGAGAGAAATGGGGTGATCCATCCCTGGCGTCAGAACTGAACCCTACAGATGACGACAAAGGACAGGGTTCGTTGGCAGTATCCTGTGAGGCTGCCTGAAGCAGAGATTCATGGCTACCAGAGCCATTTAAAAATCCTGGGAAATGAGAGATGAGCAGCAACCCAGCCGTGCAACCGGAATAGGCACTCTGCCCATCGGTCTAGAGGGATCCCTGCCTAAGAATCACAGACTCAAAAAATTTAAGGTCATATACCTGGGCTGCATAGGGGCCTGAGCCAGAACTCACACCCACACCCACTTTCATCAATTCCCAGTGCTTTTTTTTATTATTAAATTTTTGGGGATGACATTGGTTCATAGGGTCATATAGATTTCAGGTACACATGTCTATGATACATAATCTTTATACTGCATTGTGTGCCCACCACCCAAAAGTCAGATCATCTTCTGTCCCATATGATTAGCCCCCTCCCAGTGTTTTTCTTTACATCAAGTGGCCTCTGGCATTTGCCCAGTTCTGAATACTCACTGAAGGCTGCATGAGGTATGACTGGTGGTGCATCCAAGATGGGTTAGGGACTTGTAGAGGAGATGTCTGAGTTACTCTCTAAAGCAAGCAAAAATAAACAACAACAAAAAATATTAATTGCCTAGAAACTATTGTTTTGCCCAAGAATCTGATAATGTTCAAACAAAACCCCCCAAAAGATGGAGTACCCCCTTATCAAATAGAAACACAAAAAATAAACTGCTTTAAAAATATTAGCAGTTCTTGCCCTGGCTGGAGTGGCTCAGTGGATTGAGTGCTGGCCTGAGAACCAAAGAGTCACTGGTTCAATTCCCAGTCAGGGCACATGCCTGGGTTGTAGGCCAGGTCCCTAGTTGGGGGCATGTGAGAGGTAACCACACATTGCTGTTTCTTTCCCACTCTTTCTCCCTCCCTCCCACTCTCTGTAGAAATAAGTAAAATCTAAAAAAAAAAAATATATATATATATATATATATATATTTTAGCAACTCTTATACCTCAACAAACAATCCAGTTTAAAAATGGGCATCCTGGGGTCTGAAGCCCTAACAGTTTAACTTTTGTGGGGGTTCAAGACAAGTCACCTCCAGCTGTGCCTCTGTGGCATGCAGATTATTTTGAGCTAAAGACAACTGAGACCCTAGAAGATAAACTTCTTCCCCTCTCTCTCTTCATTTAACTACTCGTAGAACCTGAATTAGGGGCCTTGCCTATAGTAAGAAATTATCAGAGATAGCTTCTTTTATCTACCTATAGGAGGGACAAGGCAAGCTACTAACTATTCAACACCTGCCCTTCTTCTCGTCCTGCAATGACCCTCTGAAATGACCCACCCGAAGTGCCTCACCCCAGCCTTGGCTCCAAATGCCAGGTATACCTCATTTTAACTTTCTGCCCCTGACCCTCTCGTGTATGGGAAGGTTTGTCACTGATGATGCTGCACAATGGAAACGAGAACACAGCTGTTGCTCTTGTATATTTTATTTAAAAAAAAAGTTAAATTAAATAGCAATTGATTCTATATAATACTGAAAAACTAAAAATAAAGAGGGTCAAATAATTTAAATAAATATTTCTCTAAGAAGATTTAAAAAATGACTAATAAGCACATGAAAGAGGCGCAAAATCATTAGCCACTGAGGAAACGCAAACCGAAAACACAATGAGATGCCACTCCACACCCACTGGGACGGCCATGATTAAAAGGACAGAACAGCAACTGTTACACAGGGTCTGGCGGAAGTAAGGCCGGCTTGAGTGTGGTTAGTAGGGTAATAATATGAGTGTAATAATTTATAGTTTTAATGTGAACATTTCACCTAAAATGTCCCATGGTGTGCTTGAGTGTGACATTGTTATGTTACTGAATTACATGCTTATGATTTTGTAATAAAAGATTTTGAAATAAAAAGGGGCGTTATTTGTGCTGGATCCAGCACACTGTAGGTGGGAACACAAAGTGGCTCAGCAGCTTTGGAAAACAGTTTGGCAGCTCCTCAAAAAATTAAGCATTTACTGTGTAACCCAGCAATTCCACTGCTAGATATATACTCAAGAAAAATAAAAGTATATGTTAACACAAAAATTGCACACAAGCATTCATACAGCCCACAGGCAGAAATGATGCAAATGGCCACCAATTGATAAACGAATGACAAAATGAAGTATTATCCACACAATGGAATATGATTCAGTCATAGAAAGGAATGAAGTACTGATACACACTACAACATGGATGCACCTTGAAAACATGCTAACTGAAGGAAGCCAGGCACAAGTATATTGTATGCTTCCATTTATTATGAAATGTCTGGAATAGGCCAATCTATAGACATAGAAAGTACACTAGTGGTTGCTAGGGGTTGGGGGTTAGGCAGAATGGGGAATGACTACGTAAGAGTATAAAGTGTCTTTGTGAGGTGATAAAAATGTTCTAGAGTTAGATAATGGTAATAGTTGTACAACTTTGTAAATATACTAAAAACTACTAACTTGTACACCTAAGAGTATGACTTTTATGGTATGTGAATTATACCTCAACTTTAAAATAAAAAAAAATAGCAATGAGAAGAAATGCATCATAATAAACAAGTACAGTTTATTCCATAAATGTAAAGATTGTTCATATTAAGAACTATATACATGTAAGTCAAAATTGAAGGAAAAATCCATAGTATAATGCTAGATACTGAAAAGACATTGGATAAAGTTCAACAGCAATTTACTTTTTGTGTGTGTGTGTGTGTGGTTTTCTCTGCAGTGCCTATTGTTCACTGCATTCTTTTTTTTTTTTTCAAGATTTCATTTATTTAATTTTAGAGAGGGAAGGGAGGGAGATAGAGAGGAACATCAATGTGCGGTTGCTGGGGGTTATGGCCCGCAACCCAGGAATGTACCCTGACTGGGAATCGAACCTGGGACACTTTGGTTCCCAGCCCGCGCTCAATCCACTGAGCTACGCCAGCCAGGGTTCCATTTACTTTTTAAAAATCACAAAGAAACTACTTACATATATTAAATGTTATTACCAAAAACTAGCTGATAACATTAACCTAAACAGAGAAATATTAAAACCATTGCAATTGTAGCAATGTTAACCTTATAGTAAAGTTAAATAAATGCAATTAGATAAGAGCACAATTGGCTTAAAATTGGAAAAGGAAGAGAAACTACTATTATGCACTGATGATATAACTGTATACCTTTAAAACCTAAGAGGCTCAATTAAAAAAAATACTAGTAGTAATAAGAAGATTTAGTAAGTTGGCTGCATACTAAATCGATGAACATAAATCAACAGCTTTTTTCAGTGTATCAATAAGTGTATTAAGAAATGCTTATATAAATTATAGAACATTTAGGAATATATTATACAAGGAAAGCATAAGACCTACATAAAGAAAACTAAAATCTCATTGAATGACATAAAAAAGATTTAAACACATGAAAAAATACTATACCTTAGCTGAAAAGGTTAGTATTATTAAAACATCAATTCTCTTAAACTCATATATATAATATAAATATATACAGTTAATGTAATTCCAATTAAAATCCTCAGAGATTTTTAAAATTTAGATAAAATTATCATAAACTTTATACAGAAGAATAAATGCTAAAAATAGCAAAGTATGAAAAAGAAAGAGGAGGTTTTGCCTCATCAAATATTAGAACATATTAGACTTCTGGCCAAGATGGAGGCATAGGTAGACACATTGTTCCTCCTCACACAACCAAAAGAAGGACAACACAATTTAAAAACAAAAACAACCAGAATTGACAGAATATCTAACTATATGGAAGTCCAACAACCAAGGAGTTAAAGAAGACATTCTTCCAGACCAGTGGGGGGGCGGAGTAGGGCAGCTCGTGGCAAAGAAGCAGCTGGCGGACTAGGGCACGCAAGGAGGCGGCTGGCGGACCCAGCAAGGCCGCCGACTGTGGAATGGGGTGCTGCGTGCAAAGCTGCAGCTGGTGGACCGGGCAGCCCCACATTCATGCGCAGACAAACCAGGCGAAACTGGGGAACAGGATGGACCGCACAACCCAGGGTCCCAGGGCGGGAAAATAAAGCTTCAAAACACCAATTGAAAACACCTGCAGGGGTTGAGGCGGCAGCAGGAGAAACTCCCAGCCTCACACGAGAGTTCTTTGGAGAGACCCACAAGGTCCTAGAACGTACATAAGCCCATCCACATGGTAATCAGCACCAGAAGGGCCCAGTGTGCTTATGGGAATCGGGGCAAGTGACTGAAATCCAGCAGAGAGCAGAGCAAACGCCATTGTTCCCTCTCGGACCCCTCCCCCACATACAGCATGGCAATGCAGCCACGTGGGTTGCCCCACCCTGGTGAACACCTAAGGCTCTGCCCCTCACTACGTAACAGGAGCATCAAACCAAAAAAAAAAAAAAATGGCCCAAAAGAAAGAACAGATCAAAGCTCCAGAAAAAATACAACTAAGCGACGAAGAGGTAGCCAGCTTATCAGATGCACAGTTCAAAACACTGGTAATCAGGATGCTCACACAATTGGTTTAATTTGGTCGAAAATTAGATGGAAAAATCAAGGCTATGCTAAGTGAAATGAAGGAAAATGTACAGGGAACCAATAGTGATGGGAAACTGTGACTCAAATCAACGGTGTGGACCAGAAGGAAGACAGAAACATCCGATCAAAAAAGAATGAAGAAACAAAAATTCAAAAAAATGAGGAGAGGCTTAGGAACCTCCAGGACATCTTTAAACATTTTAACTTCTGAATTATAGAGGCACCAGAAGGGGAAGAGGAAGAGTAACAAGTGGAAAAGTTATTTGAACAAATAATAAAGGAGAACTTCCCCAATTTGGCAAAGGAAATAGACTTCCAGGAAGTCCAGGAAGCTCAGAGAGTCCCAAAGAAGTTGGACCCAAGGAGGAACACACCAAGACACATCATAATCACATTAGCCAAGATGAAAGATAAGGAGAGAATCCTAGAAGCAGCAAGAGAAAAGGAGACAGTTACCTACAAAGTAGTTCCCATCAGACTGTCAGCTGATTTCTCCAAAGAGACCTTACAGGCAAGAAGGGGCTGGAAAGAACTATCCCAAGTCATGAAAGGCAAGGACCTACATCCAAGATTGCTCTATCCAGCAAAGCTTTCATTTAGAATGGAAGGGCAGATAAAGTGCTTCCCAGATAAGGTCAAGTTCAAGGAGTTCATCATCACCAAGCCTTTATTTTATGAAATGTTAAAGGGATTTATCTAAGAAAAAGAAGATAAAAAACATGTATAGTAAAATGATAGCAAACTCACAATATTTAACAACCACACCTAAAACAAAAACAAACTAAGCAAACAATTAGAACAGGAACAGAACCACAGAAATGGAGATCACATGGAGGATTAGCAACAGGGGAGTGGGAGGGGGAGAGAAGGGGAAGAGGTACAGAGAATAAGTAGCATAAATGGTAGGTAGAAAATAGACAGGGAGAGGGTAAGAATAGTATGGGAAATGTAGGAGCTAAAGAACTTATATGTATGACCCATGGACATAAACTAAAGTGGGGGAATGTAGGTGGGAGGGGGTGTACAGGGTGGAGGAGAATGAAGGGAATTGAAATGGGACAACTGTGATAGCATAATCAATAAAATATATTTTTAAAAAAGTAAAAAAATATTAGAACATATTATGAAAGCCAGTGAGATCAAATTAATATATTATCAGAATAGGAATGGAAATAACAATCATTGGGAGAGAATAAAGATACAGAAATCAATCCCAGTGTTTATTTAATTTTTTAAAAAGAAGTCCTTTTTTTAAAGATTTTATTTATTTATTTTTAGAGAGGGGAAGGGAAGGAGAAAGAGAGGAAGAGAAACATCAATGTGTGGTTATCTCTCACACGCCTCCTACTGGGGAACCTGGCCCACAGCCCAGGCATGCACCCTGACTAGGAATTGAACCAGTAACCCTTTGGTTTGCAGTCTGGCACTCTATCCACTGAGCTACACTAGCCAGGGCTAAAGGCCAGTATTTATTATATGACAAAGATGGCATTTCAATTCAATGAAAAAATAATGGATTATTTTCCTTGGCTGGTGTCGCCCAGTCAGCGATGGTGAGCATCGATCTATGAACCAAAAGGTCACTGGTTTGATTCCCAGTCAGGACACATGCCCGGGCTGTGGGGCCGAGTATCCGGATGAGGGTGTGCAAGACGCAACAGATGGACATCCGTCTGATGGATGTTTCTCTCATGAATCTATGTTTCTCTGCCTCTTTCTCCTTCCCTTCCCCTCTCTAAAAGTAAATAAAATCTTTTTTTTTTAAAGTAAACAAAATAATTCCTTAAAAAAGGGTTATTTAATAATTTGGTTCTAGGACAACTGGTTAATGTTTTGAAAGAAAATATAATATGACCCCTACTTTCTACCATACACAAAAACAAATTCCTGGTGATTACACATTTACATATAAAACAATGAAGTAAATCTTGGAGACCGTGTGTACCATATAGGGACTAGGAAGATCTTTTGAATTAAGACAATTCAAAAGTTATAAGTAAAAAGCAGATATATTTAACTATATACAAATTTTAAACTTTGGCATGGCAAAAGCTGGTGATTCCCAGTATATGGTCTTTTGATAAGCAACAGCAGCAGTGGTTGGCGGCACCTGAGAACTTGTTAGAAATACAAATTCTTGCCTCCTGCCCCAGACTTACCGAACCAGAAAATCCTGGTGTGATGCCTGGCAACCTAGGTATAACTAGCTCTTCAAGTGATTCTGATGCACAGCTAAGGTTTGAGGACCACAAAGTCAGTGGACAAAAATTTGGAAAAAAACATTTGCAACAAAGATAACATTCAGAGGATCAATACTTATAATTTATAAAACCAAACAGAAAACTGGGCCAAGCATATGAAAAGCAATCAGAGAACAGCAAATCAAAATATGACCAACACTGAAAATGCTTAAACTAAGCCACTGTCAGGGAAGCACAAACTGAAGTCACAGTGCACTTTATACCCAAGAAGACAAGAACAATTTAAAGAGCAATGTCACCTATGGCTGGAGGGAAGCAGCTACTCTCACATGTTACTAGTGGAAACATGAATTGACACAGCCTTTGTGAAAAGCAATCTGGCAACATTTATAAAACTCCATAGTCCATAAATTCAAACTACAATTCTACTCCTCGGATGAGCCACCAGAAATATAAGTATTTATATAGGCAAGGGTAGAGGCACAAGGATGTTCACTGCCTAAGAAAATTTACTGAAGCATTATTTATACCAGAAAAACACTGAAATCCAAGCGAATGACCTTGACTGGGGTACAGATGAAGAATTCTGACCCTGACCGGGTAGCTCGATTGGTTAGAGCATCATCCGCACACACCGAAGTTCTGGGTCCATCCTGGTCAGGGCACAGGCAAGAACCAACCAATGGATGCAAAAACAAGTGAAACAAAGAATCAATGTTTCTTTCTCTCTTCCTTTCTCCTCCGTCCTCTCTCTCTCTAAAATCAATCAACAAATTTTTTTAAAAAATTAAAAGAAAAAGAAATCTGGTGTATCTCCAGCATGATCTATTATGCAACTATTAAAAAAGGAAATAATGAGAACAGAGAGCCCAACATTCGCTGCATCAGAATCACCCACAGGCTCCTGAGAATCACTCAGACTGCTGGGACCATCACCAGCTTCTAATTCCGTAGATCTGGGGTGGAGTCCAGGAATTTGTGTTTCTAAAAATTCCCAGGGGACGCTGACACCGCTGGCCCAGGGCCTATACTTGGAGAACTGCTGGTTAAGGTGCTGTTAAGTGAGCAGAGCAAAGTATGAAAAATACATTTATTTGGTCAACTTTTTGGTAACCTAAACAATAACTTCCAAAAACCACATACATATGTATACATGCGCATGAAGAAAACATTGAAAATAGTAGCCAATTGATATGGATTTACTTGTGGGGGTGGTGGGCAGAGAGAAAGAGAATGCTCCTACAACAGTCCGTGTAAGTGGGATGCGGCCACAGGTTATGCTCTCCTGCAACGTGATGTGTGTGTGGTGTACACAAACGGAAAACAAACAAGTAGTTTCCAGCATTCTACTCCTTTACTTAAAACGCAGTGCTGGGGAAAACCACCACACCCTTTTTGGGCACGAGCATACCTGATACGAAGACACAGGAGACGGAAGATACGGGGAGAGTGCAGACTGAGCGAGCATCCTGTTGGGGGCGACATTGTAAGGAGCTGGGTAAAACCTGTAGGAAGGAACCTAATCAGTACGGAGTCACAGGAAATCAGAAAGGGCCTCCCACAGACAGACACAGCCACCCACTAAGTGCTGTTTAAAGATCAAGATGAAACATCCAAGTGCCTGGACAAAGGCTATTATCATCTTCAGTCGGCCTGGTTATCTCAAACACCCTTACCCATTCTGAAGAGCTGCAGTGGGGTCATAGGTCAAGGCCATACCACCCTATAAAGAAAGAACACAGCATTCATATTGTAAGCTCTTGGATAAGAACAGGAGCAAACGCAGGATGTCAAGGGTGGGGAAGTATTTGGTTCAGCTGATTAAAGTGCAGTCTGAACAAGCTGTTCCAAGTTTTTCTGGGTGTGCAGGTTGCAAAATCCCACTCCAGACCCACAGCGAACAGCATGTTAAGTAGCCAGCTTCTCTCAGTTACAAACTGCAGCTCCCAAGCTTGCCACCTAAGTTCACAGAAATCAGGCCATGGTAATTTCCATTCCGTTTTAATATCGATCCATAGTACTCCTATCTCCTCAGAAGTCCTCTTACCATGTCTCCATTCCTTGGCCAGGCCCGTCCATTTTGCACAAATTTTCCTTGGTTCTGTCGTTTCTTAGGACCACCATCAGCAAATTTGCAAAGCAATGGGTCAGATGGGGCTACCAAGAGAGAAAGCAGACAGGCAGCTGAGTCCCGCCTCACTGAGCCCACTCACACTCATGCAAAACTCCTCCAGAGTCTTCACTGGAAGTAACAACCTATGGCCCTCTCAGCCTGATTCCCAGATGCCTCACCTGGTACTCCAGGGGGTGTCTTAATATATTTTCCATTAAAGTGGGTGATGATGGCTTCACACTTCTCTGTGGACTCCATCCTAAGGAGCACAAGAGGCATTAGGCTCTAGCTTCTTCAGGATCGGTGCTCTCCCTATGTTCAAAAAGAATGCCCTAAGTTCCCAGCCCCACAAATGCTCTAAAAGTTGTGACTGTAGGAACACAGAGTTTCCTCCACACAAATTCAAGATATTCTGAAGAGGCACCCGCAGCTTCTAATGAAGGTTCTCTCGGCTGGAATAATGGAGGTCTTTACGCTGTGAATACATATTCCAAAGAAGATACTTACGGATGGGGCTAGCCTTGTGTCTGGTTCATAAATAAAAATACAATAACTAGAGGCTGTTAACAGTACTTTTTAAATTATGAAATTCCTAATGGAAATTGTTCCCTCACTCTGACAAAACTACACAAGCTAAGAATTTGTCAATATTTATTTGTTGCTTCTGGTTATTTACCAAGGTCTAGTTACCTACTATAACATTATTAAGATTTCATGAGTCTGTAGGAGGAAAGAGTAATAAGATGGGGTCTACATGGTCCACAGTGATAGAAAAACAAAGCTGGGCAATACTGAGTTAAAGTTTCTTTTTGGAAAAAGCAGCCTGAGTGGGAAATCAGAAAATCAGAAAACCTGGCGTCCAGCTCCTGCTCACGTCCCAGAGTTCAGTGAGTGAGGACCCATTCCTCATTTCCACTTTAGAGAAATCATCATCTACTACTCTACTACACAGGATTGTACAGATCAAAAAGTTAATCTACATAAACGTGTTTTAAAAGTATAAGAGTCTAGCCCTGGCTGGTGTGGCTCAGTGGACTAGTGCAAGCCTGCAAGCTAAAGGGTCACCAGTTTGACTCCCAGTCAGGGCACACGCCTGAGGGGCAGACAGGGTCCTCCCAGTTTGGGGTGCGCAAGAGGCAACCACACATTGGTGTTTCTCTCCCTCTCTATCTCCCTCCCTTCCCCTCTCTAAAAGTAAATAAATTAAATCTTTTTTTAAGTGTAAAGGTCTATGTAATAATACAAGGTACAGTATCCTCCTTTCTTTCCATATTTAAAGTAGGTCTCAGTATATTTTCTGTGCCAATAACCACTAAAAATATAAACCATCCCTATGAAGGCGGTCACCATAAAAGGCCTCAAATGGAACTTTTTAGAGAAAACGACATGTTCGGCATCCTAGAGCAGAAGTTTGTAGCTGGGTTACTCCTACTCCTTAGTCTTTCCAAAGGGGTGAACAGACATAGAGTTTCAAGAGAATCACTTTGAGAACCTCAGCTTCGTCATAAACTCTTTCCTAAAACTGATCTGCCTAGGGGATTGGTCCTGATCAACGATCAAAGCCAAAGTCCCCTCGCACAGCCACCCCTCCCCCCCCACCCCCGTCGACTTCCCACTCATCCCCAAAGGCCACGCAGGGCAGAGAAGACCGACACAGTTACGAATCTTTTTATAAGTTAGATGGTCCCAATTCTTCCTTCCAACAGAAGCTGGAGGACTCGACCAGGTGTCAAATGACATATAAAAAAATCAATTTTCATGACAGATTACCCTGGTTCTTGGCAAATGACTCAAAAGGAATTTAAAAAATTCTTATTTTAACAAAATTCTTTCCATTCCCATCTACTTATTTATGTGAACAAAGTTTCTCGGCATGGAAGCAAAAAACAGGAACAAAACTGATATTAACCCAATCTTGTTACAGCAATAAACGATATTCACTGATGGCTACATGCCCTAATTAGAAAAATCTAAACAAAATAAAACTTAAACTTATTCATGTCATAGGAAAAGCATTTCCAATAAAAAACTTTGAGTCAGTATTTAAATATATATGTTGTTTGGGGCAACTGTGAACTAAAAATCACAAAGAGGATTTTCCTGTGGGTGAATACATATAGAGAGCCTCAGGGCCACTGGAAAAAAATTAACATACATATTTTTATTGTAGAGAAGTATGACAGGATGATCCACAAAAAGGCTTGCAACTATGAACATGTTTTACAGTAGGATATAATACAATTGAAATAAAAACACAAGATCAAGAAGAAAAAAGGAACATTATAAGAAAGATGTAAGGGTTAGAACAATTAAAGAAATGCCCTACGTATTTTCAAAACGGGCGATTTTGTGTATCAAATTGCTAGGACATTTAGATCTCATCCGGATATATGGAAAAGTGATGTGAGCTTGATTTAAAATATCAATGTTTATAATTTGCTGGAAATCATACCTAGCAAGAATCTAAATCACCCTGGCTCGCGTGGCTCAGTGGGTTGAGCGAGGGCCTGCAAACCGAGAGGTCACCAGTTTGATTTCCTATCAGGGGACACGCCTGGGTTGCAGGCCAGGTCTCAGCTGAGGGGGGTGTTAGAGGCAGCCGATGTTTCCCTCACACATCGATGTTTCTTTCCCACATTAATGCTTCTCCCTATCTTTCTCCCTCCCTTCCCCTCTCTCTAAAAGTAAATACATAAAATGTTTTTTAAAAATCTAAACATATGAAGAAAATATCTTCATATTTTAGTAGTTATTAATGTAGAAACACGCAAAAGATTCATTGCTTTTTCAAGTCTTCAAAGCCACAGTTCCCAGACTGGGCTGTGAGACACCCTGGTCGTTGCGGGGTACCAGCAGAAGCACAACAAGGAACACTTCGACTTTCTGAAGAAAACACAGCAACGTCTGTTGCACACTGTGTAGCTCACTCAACAATCCTTTTGATAATGTATTTTTGCAAAGCTGGTTTTTCAACGATTGCTATGACAAAAGCAAGTACCATAAGACAACCAGTGTGTTGTAACCGGAGATGAGGGTGGGAAGTATCAAATCCGATCCCAAGGTCGGAGAAGTTGTGTAGTCTCCAACAGGCACACAGCCCATTAGTATGGACAGTTATTTAAGGATGAAATAAAATATTTTCTCTTTCAGTGTATATTCTCAAATAGGCATAAAGTTGTTAAGATATGAACACTTTTTGAGTTGTTTAGACCATTTAATTACTTAATAAATTGAACTATTAGGGATTTGGGGGGGTTGATCTTGGGAAAAAAATTAATAGGATAACTGCAGTGCCACGATCTCAACCACGTTGGGAACCTCCGCTCTCCCAGGGCAGGAGCAAAAATGTCTGAGGACCACAAGCCTAGGAACTTCTCTAGTTATACTTGGGATCGCCAGCAGGTGGCACTACCAAGACTGAGTTGGCTAGAGAAGCCCTATTCCTTGTTTGCAAGGCCTGAAACACTCCAGAGTAGGGGAGTGCTCTCGGGCCAGAGAAGACATTAAAAAACAAACGGACATTAGTCCAGTAGTTTTCAAACTTAAAAACAACAACAACAGAATTTCCTTTCAAACAAAAGCTTAAGATAAATAAAAGCATAACCATTTCCTAAGTGGGACAGGCGAGCTGAAGCCCCACAACAGCGAGGACACCTAAGCTCAGAGGACGGGCACGTGGAGAGCTCCTCGACTCTCAGGAACACAAGAAAGTCATGCACCTGCATCAGCCCCCACAGAGCAAGCCAAGGCTCCTAAAGGTCTCCTATCACATGGGTAGTGAGTGGCAGAGTTAGTTCTAGAATTTAAGTCTCTCAACGGATCTGGAAAGGTAGATCAGATCGGCCACTTCATCCTGACTGATCTTAAAGCCAGAAGGAGTAGGGCGTCACTTCTACCACCCACTCCCATGACACCTTGGGCAAATCACTTCATTCTGGGAACTTCAGTTCCCTTATCTATAAAATGGAAGATTAATATTGCTCAGGGTTGTAGTAATGATTAAACGGCAGAATAGGATGAGAAACTACTCAATAAACTATAAGATACAGAATTGCTTTATTCCAGTTAGTTCTGTATCAAAAGGAGCAAAGGCTAGAGTAGCAGGAAGTAATGAGGAAAATAAAGATTTGGGGGTGCAAATGGATTTGTGGGTATTGTGGCCTATAATTAAATGAATTTTTGATCTACAGTCATGTACTTTTGGCCAATAGTTTGGTCCCTGGGGGGGGGGGCAGGGTTTTTTTGTGACCTTCTAAGTGACATTATTTTTTAAAAATTTTATTTACTGATTTTAGATAGAGAAAAACATTAGTTTGTTGTTCCATTTATTGATACATTCATTGGTTGATTCTTGTCTGTGCCCTGACTGCGGATTGGGACAACACTCTAAACAACTGAGCTACTTGGCCAGGGTTCTAAGTGGCGTTCTGCATTAACTGCATCATTTCCCATTCTCAGTATCCCTCACCTTGCAAAGCCAACCCCTCTGCTGGTTCCGCTGGTGTCCCGAAGGATTCGAGTGGAGATGACTTGGCCAAAGGGCTTCAGCATTCCCTCCAGTTCTTGCTCATCCATTGACAGTGGAAGGTTTGATATGTATAGATTTGTGGGGTCCTGCTCCTGTTGCTATGGAAATAAAGGAGAGAAAATGAAGTTCCCATCTCTTATCCCTCTCCCACCATCAACCCAAAATGATCTCTCAGAAAAGAGAGAACAGGAAGGGTCCCGCATAAACAAAGAGAATTGTAACTATTTGTAAAAAACAGAGTCCCACTATCATGGGTTGTATATTGAATCCAGGCAAAACAAACCGAAAGCATATTTAATATTACTAGTACTGTACAAGCCCAGAATACAAGTCATAGGTCAAGTTTTGTCTGTTTCTTTAAGAACTAGGCAGAGCAGCGCTCCCTCCTCCCCCCAGCAGCCTGTCCCGGAGGCTGGATTCTCTTGGACTGCCTCGTTCCCGGGCAGGATTGTTTTGAGTAATCCTCCCTCCCCCTTCTTCCGGCCACAGCAGACTCCTCTGAGTAGGAATGCCTGTTCACTCCCTGATGGAGGGAAACACAGGAAGCGGGGAGAGCGGGGAGGAGAAAGGGAAGGCGACGTGCTGCGGGCTGCCCTAGGGCCACATGGGGAGCGCTCTGGGTCACCCGGGAGCCCTGAAAGCTCTCATCTCAGAGACTCCACTGCCCAGGCTTCTGTACGGAAGAGGCAGGAGAGCCCTTCCAGAGGGCAGAATGTACACAGCGACTATAACTTCCCATCGCTGTATTTTTAAGAATTTAACCAGTCACTGCCCCAGACTGTGGGTCACCAGCAACCTTAACTCCTCTCTGCCTTTCCCTTTAGGGCTCCCATTTTCTTATAGGAAAGGGCAGCTGGCAGACCTGCCTCATTAGCTGTACACGGAGTGCTCACAATTACTTCAGAAGGGCAAGGGGATGATCCCACCTAAGAGAAGGGAGAGAAGAGCCTCTGGATTCCTAGTAATCTAGATGAAAATAAAAGCCCAAGATCTGAGAAGGAGAGGCGGTTTCCTTCCCTGCTGTGGTGTTTCTCCCCCAGCCCCCAGGGAACCGAGCTGGGAGGTGGAGAGCATTGTTCTGAACCTCTGAGAGGCACGACCGGCTTCTTCAGACAACGTGGCAAAACCAGCACAAGCTGTCTGGTAGGGGAGTGAGGGGCCAGGGTGGGGATGGGGAAACAACAGGGGGAAGGGAAGAAGCCTCTCGACCCTCTTGCCTGCTTATAACACTCGAAGAGAGGAAAAGAGTTGAGAGCTACCCCACACAGATTTGAATGCCATCTTCCTCCAGCAGCCAAGGGCTGCTGAATGGGTCCCTAGCCCAGATTCCCTTTGGCCAGATGCAGTCAAAGAGCACTGCAGCTGGCCTCTGCCCTTCGACCTCATCGTTGTCAAACCCTCTGGAGACCTTGGAACTGGACCTTGGCTGCTCACCAGAGCCCCCGGGGGGGGGGCGGGGGGGGGGGAGACACGGGGTAGCACCCTTACCTTCGCCATCTGTGCCTGCACACCACTGGCCTTCAGTGCTGTCACGGCCTTCTGGGCAGCCGCGGGACTGTCGAAGTCCACAAAGCCGTAGCCTGGAATGGGGAGACAGCATCACTGGGAGGTTGGGGGACGAGGGAGGTGGGAGGCCGGGCTTTTCAGGAGACAGAGGAGAATTATGATGCACGTAAGGGAAGTGGCAGGGAGAGAGAAATGAAGAGGTTTTGGGTGATTGTCCATGTGCTCCCCAACCCTGCAAGATCCGGTCCACTTTAAAGCTAAGAATGCCAGGGGTGGTAAGGTCCTTGTGGTGTCCTTGCCTTTCTCACTCCCTCTTAAAAAGATCTAAGGATTCAGGAACTAGGTTCTTCTAGTAACCCACAGCACCGCGGGCACCCCCCCGCCCCCCCCCCCCGCCCCGCCACTTCTAAAAAATCCCTTCCTCTTTTCTAGCCACAGCCCAGAAATGGGAGGCATGTAGGAGACACAGCCTCTTAGCTGCAGATAACCAGGCACTGCTGGAAGGGGCCCCTCCCCACTCCAACCTCTTTACTTTCCCCCTCCTTCCACTCTTACATCTCCACTGAACACTGCTCAAAACCCCAACAAAGCTGTTTTAATCCTCACAAAATAATACCTCCTCCGCCATCCACCCCACCACCACCAAAAGCAATTACGATGCTTTGCCAAGGAGAAATCATCTCACCTACCCATGTCCACCATCCAATCCAGGGCGACATGAGGTCCAAAGTAAGCCCAGGGGATTCCAAGACTCTGCAGACTTCTAGCCTCAGGTCCCCCAAATAGCACTGCAACTCCAGCTATCTGGTCACCAAAGAATCTAAATATCTGCTTGTCTTTTAAGCCTGAAAACCTCTGAGACTTCTCTCTGGCCTTGGGTACAGGGACTTGCAGCAGTAAAGGGCAGAGACAAGGGTGGGCTCACTCTCAGCTGCTCCCCATCACCAAGGGCAGCTAGCTGTTTTCTCACCTTTGCATTTGTTTGTGGTCTTGTCCAGTATGGCCTTAGTGGAGACGATCTTGCCATATCTAAGGGAGAGGAAAACGCAGAGCGATGCTCCGGGTGCAGGGACTGACAGACCCATACTCGTGGATGAACCCATGTTCTCCCTCCACTCCCACTAGGACAACTGACCCCACCCAAAACTGAATAATAAACACAAAGAAGAGATGAATTTAAAATGCCATAATTACCATTCAAACCTAATCCCCAAAGGTGCCTACAAGAAATAAGGTAACGGCAGTCCAACACACTTCTCATTCTTCCCCAAGTAAGACCCAGATACTAGGTGGAAAGACAGACACTCCTGTCTTTTCAGGAAAGAAGCTTGGTGACACGCATGTGGTTGAAAGTATCAGGGCAGAGCTTGGGCTGGGGTCTTTGGGGACTAAAAATAATCCTTGATATTACTGATCTTCTTTGGGACAAACACCATTCCACCTATGAAAACCTACTCTGAGAGCCCTGGCTGGAGTAGCTCAGTGGATTGAGTGCGGGCTGCGAACCAAAGTGTCACAGGTTTAATTCCCAGCCAGGGTACATGCCTGGGTTGCAGGCCATAACCCCCAGCAACCGCACATTGATGTTTCTCTCTCTCTCTATCTCCCTCCCTTCCCTCTTTAAAAATGAATAAATAAAATCTTTAAAAAAAAAAGAAAGAAAAGAAAACCTACTCTGACGCTCCAGTCCCTGCTCTTCTAATGGCCCCTGATTGAAGGTCAATGTGAACCAACTTCCTTCTATTCAAGTCCTGGTTCTGCCACTGTGTAGCCTTGTGTGATCTTGGACAAGTCATTTAACCTTTTTGTGCCAGAATAGGGCTGCGGGGAATGGAAAAGAAGTTCACGAACATCAAGCACGAATGTCTGCCACGTGGTGAACACTTAAAAATTCTTAACTGCTGTTATTGTTACTATATTCAAGAGACCTCAACTTCAAATGGCTCCCTCTCCTGCTTTACTGTATTCTAAGACTTCTATTTCTCATCGCCAAGATTTAAGTGTGTTAGGAGGGGAGTGGGCACAAGACCAGGTACAATAGCTGTGTTAAAAAAATTATCCAAAACTTGACAATGAGGCAAAATGAGGAGTGCATATCCTTTCAGTGTCACTCTGGAATATTGTCTAAAAGGCCGATTGCAAGTATATTTCATTATCTAGTGAGCTGTTTCGGTTTCACTTACTATTTACTACCGGTTAGGGCTCAGATTTTGTGAAGATACATATTATTAACTTGTACATTTTATCCAGTAAAAATGTAAATAATTTCTGTCCAATAGAAAAGATAATCCCAAAGACTACTGTTTCCTTGTTCTTGAGGACATGAACCAGTTTTGCCTGTAACCAAGCTATCTTATCGCACATTCTTTTTCCAGTACCTGTAAATACCCAGTCCCTCAAACGCTCTGTGAACCCATTTTACCATCCTGCTGGTTCCCTCGCTAACGAGTAGAATGAATCTTCGGCATGTGTTCACCTAAACTTGTATGACAGTCATGTTTTTCAACTTTTTGAAAATCACACTTTGGCAGCGGAGTCATTTGGAGCTCCCCGACCTCGAGCAGTGAAGTATCACAAGTCAGGAATTGTATCAGAAGTGGTCCACTAGAAGAAAGTCCCTACGTTCCACTTCAGGAGGGTGAAAATGTTAAAGAGACAGAACAAGTACTGCTAACAAAGTTAGAAGTATAAGATTTAACTGAAAACATTTTGCAGGGACTGAATTTAAGACCAATACCCCAAAGAAGCATTTTTTTCTACCTCTTCTAACCCTAAAGAACGTAGGATGATCGATGTGTTTGCTATACTCCTCGGAGACCTCTCACTAACTTTTTCAGTGGGGTTTCTGTGACCCAATGAATTAGAAAGAATAAGCTGAGCAATGCCCTGGAGGCTGGGAAAAGAACACATCAAAATGGGGGGGGGGGGGCGCGGTAATGTGGCGATCCTAGCCCTTCAGGGCTACATACTTGGATTCTTTCCCAAATTTAGGCAAAGGAAGAGCTGCGTGAGACTAGGCTAGAGGACACACGTGCTGCGATCCCTAGCAAGGCCCCAGGGTGGAGCTTGCTGTGGTCTGAGCAGCCCGAGACTTTGAGCTCAGAATTTCCACGGCAGCTGGCAACAGCTGAGTTGCTCGCTGCTGCTTCCTCCTCAGAAGAAGGAGCCCCTCCACAAGAACCAGTCCCACATTCCGTGCTCTCCTTCCTGCCCACCAGGGCTTAGGATCCAGCCACGTTTGCTTCCCCTACAACCCAGAGAGAGACAACTGGGACAAAGGCAGGAAGTCCTTCTGGAGATATGAATACCACCCTTCCTAGAAAGGTTTAACTCGCGGCGCAAAGCACCAGCAAGGGTTGACTCACCTGCTCTCCTCAGCCTCCCTTTCGCCATAACTCATCTAGCACCTGTGCTTCCGGCCTCATTCCCACTTCTGCACAGTCCCCTCCTGGACTCCTTACTTCCCTCCCACATGCTGATCCTGACTATTTTCATCCCTTCAGAGTCAGCAGAAAGGGCAAAATGAATGCCTAGAGGTACAGTGAAATAGAATTGTTTTCTCTGTCTTATGGAGTAAGGGGATTTTTGTAGCACAATATATTGAAAATTTAGAAGAAGAAACACAGGGTGCGGAAATCAAGGAACTATACTGATAGGATTCTCTCTTCCCTCATAAACCAACCTTTCTGCCAATTTCCATTCCCCCAAAACATTACTAGTCCTACGCTAAGTTCCATTTAAATACCTTTCTAGCAAGGTAAGCTGAGGGAAAGGAACCAGTGTGATATGTACACCTCGCCTTAAATGACTGAGTTTGTGTGGCCTAGTGCTAGCAAAACCCCATATGATTTGCAAACCACTACATCAGGAGAGGAAGGGATTTATAGAGTGCATCTGATGCCTCATACGGCTGTATTTTGGGGGCAAAGTGTTCCGCCCCTCCAGGACTTGGACCATGGGAACTCGCATACATTGTTGTGGGAGTTGGAAGTACTTTGACCACTTCAGAAAATTGTTTAGCCATAGCACAAAAGCTGAACAAATGCACATCCAACGAGTCAGCAATTTTACTCCTAGGTATATACCCACCATAAATGTGTGCACACATGCACCAAAAGACATGTACAATTTAATAGTAGCACTAATCATATTCAAGAAGATACTTTTGGGGATAGGGAAGAGACAGTAATCGCGAGGTGGGCATCTGAAGAGCTGGTAATGTTCTATTTCTTGATCTGGCAACAATAAGGGTGTGTTCACCTTGTGAAAATTCACTGTTTTGAAAATACATTTATGATTTGTGCATTTTTACATACACTTGTTATACTTCAAAACAAAGTTTCCTTAAAATGGTAAATTTACATAATCGAAGACTCCGATTTTTCTCTGCCATTCACTAACCCAAATTCGGTTTTCCTTCTCTCCATTAATGTCCCCATCCCGCCCCAGACGTTTTCCTCTAATAATTCCCCCGACTCTGTTATTTTTTGGCACAAACATATTTTTCTGCCAGAAGGAAATGAGCTAGCATTTCTGCACACTTGCGATTTTCCCAGCATTCTTTTTTTTTAAAGATTTTATTTACTTTTAGAGAGGGGAAGGGAGGGAGAAAGAGAGGGAGAGAAACATCAATGTGTGGTTGCCCCTCACATGTTCCCCACTGAGGACCTGCCTGCAGCCCAGGTATGTGCCCCGACTGGGAATTGAACCGGCAATCCTTTGGCTCGCAGGCCAGCACTCAATCCACTGAGCTACACCAGCCAGGGCTTGGCAGGGCTTCCCAGCATTCTTAAATGGGCTAATTCCATGGTAGTTATCTCCACCTCCCAATTCAAATCTACACAGAAGAACCTCAAAAGTCTTTAGGGGGTAGACACAAAGTGACAGCCTCTTTCTCTACCTTCTTCTTTATCCACTAGTTCAAGGGCTCCTCAGGTTCACTAGGAATATCTCTAGCAGCAGAAACTCTCCTGAGTATATAATTCAATGGGCTAGTCCCCCTTTCTTACACCCCACCGCTGGCTCTCACTGCCTTCTAATCAATACCTTTGGACACCCTGAACATTTCTATTCAAGATGTAAGGATACAAATCTTCCCACCAAGATCATCAATTCTAGAACCTGCTAGGAAGGAAGTCATATGCTAGGCGTCAAAGGCCAGCCTTATCCTGGCTTTCCTCAGAGAAACACAAAGGTTTTACATATTAGTAGCAAGTAGAATTTCTTTAAGGGGGCTGCTGAGAAACCTTATGACTATGAGGTAGAAGCAAAATAATACTGCACTTCAGGATACAAGTATCTGGCAAGAAGCCAGTATCACTAAATCTATACTGTCCCTGGAAGCCTACCCACACATACCCCAACTTACGACTGACACAGCTTGACAAGGTCCTGGTCAGTAGTGCCTGGTTGCAATCCCCGGATGTAGAGGTTGGTTTTGCTCAGCTGGTCATTTCCATTGCTCCCACTGCTGCTGTTAGGGGTACTGTTGCTTGGACTGGGTGGTGCCATCTGCTGAGACAATGACACATATGGCTGCAAGGAGACAAGAAGAACAGAAGGTCAAAAAGGATTATTCACTTAGATGTTGGAGAATGATAAAGATCCTGGCCCCTTAGAAAGAATGATTTCAATCTGTAATAGCAATGAACTCAACAGGAGACTTAAAAATAAAAACCAAAAACTCTAAACCTGAAGGAATTCCTGTCTGCCATAGAGTAAGTAATTATGTAATTGTCCTACCTATCTTTCAGGAATAATGAGAAGCCAAATAAGCTTCTTAAAGGTTTTGAAAAAAAGTGCTTTGTTATAGAGGGATGTTTTCATCACACAGTAATAGGCAGCAATGTATACCTCTTAAGTAAAATTGTGTCACAAGACAAAACTAATACAATCTAAGTTCCATTAAACAATGATTAAGAGCCCTGGCTGGCGTAGTTCAGTGGACTGAGCGCTGGCCTGCGAACTAAAGGGTCACCAGTTTGATTCCCAGTCAGAGCACATGCCTGGGTTGCAGGCTGGGTCCCCAGTAGGGGGCATGTGAGAGGCAACCACGCATTGATGCTTCTCTTCCTGTCTTTCCCCCTGCCTTCCCCTCTGTCTGAAAATAAAGAAATAAAGTCTTTTTTAAAATGATGAAGAGCAAATAATAAAAATTTATTAAATCATAAAGGCATAAATAAATTGAACATAGATTATTCATAAAACTGTAGAATATGAAAACTGTAAAATACATGCAAAAGCTTGAAAATTATTATAAACTTAGACAAATAAAATGAAATACTAATTACCATGTCAGGTAGTAAAAATAAAATTTTTTATAATGGTATTTGGGGTTTAGTCAACTATAAGTCAGTTACAAGTTTTAAAAGTTTAAATAAATGAATAACAGACCTATTAGGGCCAAAAATCCAGGATGGGTGAAACTTCTCTAATCTTCCACTACTGATACCAAGACAGGCAACCAGACCCTGCTTAACATCTTGAGGTACTGCTGTTACAGACGAAACACCAGGTTGACTGGAACATGGATCCATTCCTCCACGGCACATTTTATGTCCTTATGCTCTAAGTAGGCTTTTAGTGTTTACATTTGGTTTATAATACTCTAAATTTGCATAATTACCTATAGCACAGTATATTTTACTGTATCACACTAATACTTCAGGTCTCCCTTGGCTTAAAGCACTGGATAGTATAAATCTATTTGAAATTACTTTAAAATGCCAGTGTCATCTCCAGGTTTCTCTCTCTCTCTTTCCTTCTCTCTCTGCCTCTCTCTCAATCTCTCTTTCTCTTTTTCTCACTCTGGTGGTGGTGGTGGTGGTAAAGAATTGGATTAGTAACAAAAGAAAAGGAGAACCATAAATATAAAAAAGGGAAAATTCTCCCCCTAAAGAATCTTAATAAGAAATGTGCCTCTTATAGTTCATGCCTCTGACCGTTAGCAAACTTTAAACTAAAAATCTTCACTCAGGCCCTGTCTGGTGTGGCTCAGTGGACTGAGCACTGGTCTGTGAACTGAAAGGTCGCAGGTCAATTCCTGATCAGCACACATGCCTGGGTTGCAGGCCAGGTCCCCAGTTGGGAGCATATGAGAGACAACCACACATGGATGTTTCTCTCCGTCTCTTTCTCCTTCCCTTCCCCTCTCTCTAAAAATAAATACACCTTTGTTTAAAAAAATCTTTACTCAGCTAAAATATGTTAAAGCAGGTATTTCTCTTATCTTTGTCAGTACAGACATACCTCAGAGATACTGCAGGTTAGTTTGGTTCTAGACCAGCACAATAAAGCAAGTATTACAATAAAACAAGTCACAAACTTTTTGGTTTCTCAGTGCATATAAAAATTATATTTTTACTATACTGTGACCTACTAAGTGTGCATTAGTACTATGTTTTTAAAAAATCATGTGCTGTACATACCTTAATTTAAAAACACTTTATTGCTAAAAAATGCTAAGCTTCATCTGAGCCCTCAGCGAGTTGTAACCTTTCTGCTGTGGAGGGTCTGGTCTCAGTGTGGACAGCTGCTGACTGATCAGGGTGGTGGTTACTGGAGGCTGGGGTAGCTGTGCCAACTTCTGTAGATGACAATGAAATCTGCCACATTGAGTGACTTCCTTTCACAAACAATTTCTCTATACCATGTGATGCTATTTGATAGCATTCTACCCACAAAACTTCTTTCAAAATTGGAGTCAATCCTCTCAAACCCTGCTGTTGCTCTATCAACTAAGTTTATATAATATTCTAAATCCCTTGTTATCATTTCAACAATCTTGCCAGTACCTTCACTGGGAATAGATTCCATCTGAAGATACCACTTTCTTTGCTCATCCATAAGAAGCAATTGCTCATATGTTTTATCATGAGATTGTAGCAATTCAGTCACATCTTGGGGCTCCACTAATTCTAGTTCTGCAGTTACTTCCTCCACTGAAGCCTAACTCCTCAAAGTCATCATGAGTGTTGGAATCAACTCCTTCCAAACTCCTGTTAATGTTGACATTTTGACTCTTCCCATAAATCACAAATGTTCTTAATGGCATAAAAAATGGGAGTCATTTCCAGAAGGTTTTCAATTTGCTTTCCCAGATCTGTCACAAGAATCACTAACTATGGCAGCTACAGACTTAAGAAATATCTTTCTTAAATAATAGGACTTGAAAGTCAAAATTACTCCTTGACCCATGGGCTACAGAATGAATGTTGTGCTAGTAACCATGAAAACAACATTAATCTTATACATCTCCATCAGAGCTCTTGGGTGTCCAGGTGTCTTGTCAATGAATAGTAATACTAAGTAATAGTTAGGGGCAATAGGTTTCAATAGTGGGCTTACAATATTCAGTAGACCATGTTGTAAACAGATATGCTGTCATCCAGACTGTCATTCCATTGACTAAGCACAGGCAAAGTAGATTTAGCTTAAATCTACTTAAGGGCCCTAGGACTTGGGGAATGAGAAAATGAGCACTGGCTTCAACTTAAAGCTACCAGTTGCATAAGCCCCTAACAAGAGAGTCAGCCTGTCCTTTGAAGTTTGAAGCCAGGCATTGCCTTCCCTCTAAAAAGTCCTAGATGACATCTTCTTCCAAAATAAGGCTGTTTTGCTTACATTGAAAATCTGTTGCTTACTGTAGATACCTTTATTAATTATCTTAGCTAGATCTGCTGGATAACTTGCTGCTGCTTCTACATCAACACTTGCTGCTTCACTTGCACTTTCAAATCATGGAGATCATTTCTTTCCTTAAATCTCATGAACCAACCTCTGCTAGCTTCAAACTTTTCTTATCATTCATGTGTTCACTGAAGTAGCACTTTTAATTTCCTTCAAAAACTTTTCCTTTGCATTCACAACTTGACTGACTGGTGCAAAATACCTAGCATTCAGCCTGTTTCAGCTTTTGACATGCCTTCCTCACTAAGTTTCATCATTTTTAGTTTTTTTATTTTGAGTAAGAGATGAGCCACTCTTCCTTTCACTTGAACACTTAAGGCCACTGTAGGGTTATTAATTGGCCTAATTTCAATATTGTTGTGACTCAGGGAATTAGGAGGCTGGAGGGAAGGGAGAGAGATAGGGGAATGGCTGGTTTATGAAGCAGTCAGAGCACACAAAATTTATCTATTAAATTTTCTGTCTTATATGGTGGCAGTTCGTTGCCCCACAAAGCACTTATAGTAGTAACATCAAAGATCACTGACCACGGATCACCATAACAAATACACTAATAATGAAAATGTCACAATTTGGTAATTGTGAGAATTACCAAAATATGACACAAAAACACAAAGTGAGCAAATACTGTTGGAAAAATAGTTCCAATAGACTTGCTCAATAGAGGGTTGCCACAAACCTTCAATTTGTAAAAAAAAAAAAGAAAGAAAGAAAGAAAGAAAGAAAAGAAAAGAAAAGAAAAGAAAAGAGATAATATCTACAAAGCACAATAAAGCAAAACACAAGAAAACAAGATATGCCTGTATAATACTATGGAAAATCATCAGTTATAAAGGAAGACAGCAAAAAAGGAACTACAGGACAGCCAGAAAACAATGAACAAAATGGCAATAATAAGTCCTTACCTACTAATGATTACTTTAAATGTAAATGGTTAAATTCTCCAATCAAAGCCACGAGTAGCTGAATAGAAAAAAAACAAGACCCAACTATATCCTGCCTACAAAAGCTCACTCCAGTTACAAGGGCACACACAGGAACAAAGCAGAAGGCTGGAAAAAGACATTCCACACAAACGGAAACCAACAGAGGGCGAGGCTAGCTATGCTTGTATCAGAAAAAAATATATGCTTTAAGTAAAAAGCTGTAACAAGAAACAAAGAAGGTCATTATGTAATGATAAAGGGGTGAATTTATCAGGAGGATATGACAATTGTGAAAATGCATCCAATATCACAGCACCTAGATATATGAAGCAAACACTAACAGATCTGAAAGGAGAAAAAGACAACAGTATAATATACTACGGGATTTCAATACCCCACTTTCAACAATGGATAGATCACCCAGACAGATAATCAATATGTAAACATTGGACTTGAACTTTTTTTAGACCAAATGGACGTAACAGAATATTCCATCCAAAAGCAACAGAATATACCTTCTTCTCAAGTACACATGGAACATCCTCTATGACAGAGCCCATGTTAGGTTGCAAAACAAGTCTCAAGAAATTTAAAAATACTGAAAATACACCAAGTATCTTTTCTGACAAAAATAGTATCAAACTAGAAATCAATAACAGTAGGAAAATGTGAAAATTCATAAATATATGGAAATTAAACAACACACTCTTGAACAACCTATGGGTCAAAAATTTAAAAAGTATCTTGAACAAACAAAAATGACAATGCAACAGACCAAAACTTATGGGATGTAGCAAAAGCCATTTTAAGAGGGAAATTTATAGCTATAAATGTCAACATTAAGAAAAAAGAAGATCTCAAATAAACAACTTCAAGGAACTAGAAAGAGAACAAATTAAGCCCTAAGTTAGTATGGAAAAA